GAGAGGAGGGAGGGAAAGGGAGGGAGGGATGAGGGAGAAAGAGAAAGTTTGTGGGGCTCTACACAATGAGAAAAGTTGATTAACATGCTCTCACAATTTTGCACATCAGTTTCATCTATAAGCTCCTTTTTTTTATTATTATTCATTAAACATTCTATTTATGTCAAGCAATTGGGAATTGCTTGCGTTTAACAGTTTAATGCCTCATGCAGTGATGTAGAGAAATTAATGTAAATGAAAATAAATTGGGTATTATGCCCAGTAGGAAAGCACCCCAGCCTGAATCCCTCATCTAATTCACTGCCTAAGCCAGAGAGCAGAACTTATAATGCAGTGTAATTTCCTCTTCGTAAAGTGCAAAATACCGCCTCCATTAATGGTCAATTTGAAGGATGTTTCATAACATTCTGCATCTCGTGAGGTACTTGGGAAGCTTGTGTCCTCTCTATGGGTTCTGGCTGGGACATTCATCCTAAAGGCAATTTGGAGAGACAATAGGCAATAAAGCTAAATCATTCAAGAGACATCAGAGGGCTCTCTGTGCCTGGGTGGTGGAGCTGGGCTGCAGCCAAGGCTGTTCTGTCTATTCAGAGTGCAATTCTCCCTCTTTCAAGGTCATTCTCCCCGGTAAAGCATGGGAAGGGAAATGGGGTTGGAACTAAGATGAGATCCCTGACCCCTTTTACACAGAAAATCTATTGCCACTGTGCTGCTCCCATTTTTTTCTTTAGGCCATGTATCTATTCCTCATAGTCCCAGAGCCTGGCTGTTCCAGGGTAACCTGACTACATGGTTATAATACATGAGAATTTGTTCTATGCTTATGTTAGGACCTGTACTTGATGATGATGATGATGATGATGATAGAAGCTAGACTTGACTGAATATTTACATGCACCAATAACTATTTTTTTGAAGTGCTAATACTTTACTAGTCATTGACTTTTTTTTCTATTTTTTTTTTTTAAGAGCCATATATATATTTTTTCTCATTTTATTCTCAAATCAACCCTATGAGGTTGGGACTATTACCATCCCCATCTCACACATGAAGAAACTGAGGCACAGAAAGAATAAACAACGTAACTGAAATAGCAGCAGTTATTAAGTAGAGGAGCCAGGATTTGAACCCTGGCTGCCTGCCTCCAGATTCTTTGACCTGTATCTCTTCTGCTTCTTACATATTTATTTTAGCTAATTCTCACAGCAACACCTGGGATAGGTAACATTTCATAGATGAGAAAACTTGGCCTTGCCCAAGCTCACTTAGCATTTCACATTTATTTATACTTCCATAGGGCACTGGTTTTGTAAATGTTTTTCTTCTGCTGAAGTCTTCCTAGATGTGAAAATTTACTGGAAGCTTGAAGCCAAATAAAACTTTTCAGATTAGAGTGAGAAGATGAGCACCCTGCCTCTCTTTGCATCTCCTCTTGCAGCAGAAGGCCAACACCCTCTTTGCTTGTTTCATAGGACTCAGCATATTTTCTGATTATTTTATGGCATTGTTTGATACTTACTCATATCTCTCCACAAAACCAGTCAGTAAGTTCTGAGAGAAGAGGCACCTAGTCTATCTTATCCACCACTGTATGTCTAGCACCTAGCAAAGTGCCAGGCACGTAGTAAGCATTCAATAAATATTTACTGAAATGTACAAGTGAAGTAACATTTTTTCCCTAAATCCTATTAGGGAACAAATCAAGACAACAGAACTTCCAAAAACTGAAGAACAGAGAACAGAGGAAAATGTAAAATGAAGTTTTCCATTTATTGTGGTTTTATTACATTTCTATTGCTATAAATCACTTTGCAGAACATGATGCCTAGTTGTTGCTGCTGCCACTGTGGGGAAAGAATGGGACCATTAGGTCACAGGCATGGGCTCCGATCACTTACCCAGTGGTACCAGAAGAAATAGAATGAAAGGATGAACCCAATGAGCATCTTTCAGGAAGGTCAACTATACTTACACAAAGATAGTTTTTTTTTAATTTGAAAAGTCTACCCAGGCCATACGTGGTGAATTCCCTATAAAAATCGAAGTAGAATTTAAGGAAACATTTCAGTGTTCCAAAGGTTTTTATCAGGAAGTTCTGCTAAAAAATTAAAGAAACCACTAAAGTAAATGTCTTTAGATTGGGCTACATCAAATAAATACATAAAATATTCACTAATAAAATTAAAAGAAACTTAGGAAAATATTTTTAGCAGGTATGACAGACAATATTAAAAGATCACTCGAATTAATGAGAAAAACTCTCAGACTCGGTTGACAATTCTGCTGGGGGATAAAAAGAGAATTCTCCAAAGAAAGAATATAAATGACTTATATTAAGTATAAAGCTGTTCAGTTTTATTGGAAAGCAAAAAAACTGTGACTTAAAACCACAAAGCAATGTCATTTTTTTAAAGCCAAGTTTATTGAAGTATAATTTACATACAGTAAAATTCACTTTGTTCAGGTGTATAGTTCAATGAGTTTTAACAAATACATGCACTCATGAAAAGACCATCAAAATCAAGAAATAGAACATTTCCATTACCCCTCCAAAGTTCCCTCAGATCCCTTCCTCATGCCCAGATCCTGATTCAATTTTTTCCTTACAGTTTTTCCTTTTCCAGAATGTCATGTAAATAGAAATGTACAATAAGCAGACTTTGAATCTGGCTCAATGTCTTATTCAGTCTATCAACTTAGTAAAGCTGTAAAAGGTAATAACAACATCAGTGAGTGTGCCCAAACACAGCTTGTGTGTGCATAAACTGCTACAACCTTTCTTGGGTGCAAACTGACAATATTTGTCAAGAGCCTAAAAATATTGAAATACTTTGACCACTAATTCCATTTCTAGAAATTCCTATACCAGCAGTTGTTATCAAAGAGGTGCATAAATACTTAGATATGAACAAAGATATTCATTATAGTGTTATTTATCATTGTGAAACATTAAAAACATTCTAAACATTCAACAAAAAGGGAATGGATAAGTTTATATAATAAACACATTTATTTATATGTCAATTAAAAGTAAAGTTTACTGTTTTCAATGACATGTAAAAATACGATATTGGAATAGCGCAAAATTGACACAAAAGCTATGTACATAGTATAATGTCAGAGTAAAAATGCATGCAGAAAAGAGTGGAAGAAAAATTGTCTCTGGGTGATAGATGACTGTGAAAATTACATATTCTATATTGTCCTAATTTTCTCCAATGAACCTCTATTATGTTTCTAATTAGAAAAATACCTCATAAAAAATAGAAAGTTCTGCTTTCTATCTAACATAAAATACTTATGCTCCACTCTAAACATAAAGAAGATTCAGATCAACTGGCTAATAACTCACACCTTTAACCAAGATTTATTAAGCACCTACTCAGTTCCAAGCACTCTGTTAGGTGTTAGAACTACAAAGAGTAAGACTTCCCTATGTCAAAGGGACATTGGATTAAAATGTAAACACACAATGTTAATTACTTCTAATAATGTATTTTGTAGTTTTACTCTATGCTAGATACTAAACATTTTTCATATGTTATCTCATTTCCTCTTCTGTAAAATGGAGATAATACTAAGGTGGTTATAAAGAGTCATCATTAAAGCACTTAGCCCAGTTCCTGACATAAGGTATGCCAACAGATATTTGTTCTACTCTGAAAGGTATTATAACAGAGACAAGAACTAAATAAAGAACTAAATATACTATGAAAACAAAGGAAGAACAATTCTACATAGGAAAGAGAGGTCAGAGACCCTTGTGCTTTGCTTGATAGGTGATCAGGATTTTGCAGGTGGCCAAGTAAGGGAAAGGTATTCCAGGCAGAGGCGCCAGTATACAACCTCACCTCTTCGAAGATGACTTTTTTTTTTTTTTTAACATTTTTATAAGGAAACGCTTCCCTGTGTGACATATTCGTAGGAGTCTCTTAAAAAGCAATGCTGCCTACTTTCAAAAAACTGCTTCTAGTGTTAAGACATCTCTGACAAATGTCCAGACTCATTCTATTACTTGATTCTGTAGGAAAGAGAGACAGTTCCATCCCATGCACTGGATATCGCTCTTTTGTTGGCCTTTACTTCATACAGAGTAGGACCTTCACAAAAACTCACCAGAAAGCACACGGGCTTCAAGGTAAATGCAAACAGGTATACAACACTTTGGAAGCTGCAAAACATCGATATTATTTTTGCCAACAAAGAGGAGTTTGCCCATTATCTTTTCTCTTTAACTCTTCCCCTTGTCCTTTGCACTATCTACCGGGAACTCTTCTAGTACACAAACCACATCAAAATAATAGTCATCTTAGCGATCTTTTGGAAAAATAAAAATAAAAATAAATTTTAGATAATATTGCCCTTGTTTTGCTTCAAAAACATTAGTCATTAGCTAAATGGTGTGACGAGTTATAATATCACTGGATTGAGAGACATAAACTGAGCACACAAGTTTAATGAGGACAGATAGCAAACATCCGTGTTAGCTGGCAACCATATCAAAAGAGAGCGAAAGAGAAACTCCATAGCAAGAGAAGTAGAGGCACAATGCACACCACCATCATTCAGTTAGGAAGTAGGTCCACATAACTGCTTTGGGCAGGAGATGGAACAGTTCTTTCCTTTCAATATACATATTCAATATACAAGACTTTCAGGGTTTCTGAACTTTCCTTCAAGAATTCCAGTTATTTCAGCAATAATTTCCAAGCACCACTGCTTTTGCTAACATTTTGGCCCCAATTTAAGAAAACACTGCTCTTTAATTTAGAACCCAACTCCCACTCATCTTCACAGTTTTCTCATGAGCACAGCTCACAAGAGGTTTATTCATAAAAGAGTATGGAAAGTTACAATGGACTGACAAAACCAATGACATCCATAGAAGTGGCCACATTTGGCAGAAGTTCTGACCTTTCATCTACAGTCATCTCCTCCTCCTAATGAGAGTACAGGAGCTGGGGAATGTAACATGCTGGAAAATGCTAGTCATGAGACAGATTGTGAAAGATCTGTTCTTAGAGATGTTCAGCATATAAATGAGGACCATCTATTTTTTATTGCTTTGATGCTTTTCTCTTTTAACCATGGGGCTGACTTTGAGAGTTTGCTCACTGCTATGATTTTGTAAAAGGTAAACTGGAAGAAGTTTTCTCAAGTAACCAATTAGACAATGTGTCACTTTAATGTGATGAGATTATTCAACTTTAGAGACAATTGTCCATGTAGAGTAAGGAGCCTATATAGTAATATATATACATAGCTTCCATTCATGAATCTTTCTCTACTACCTAGGACCCCCTGGACCTTCCAGATAAATATGTCCCATTTCATTTCAACTCAGCCAACCTACGATGGCCCTGAGCGGAACCCATAAATCCACTCATAATTTATTAAAGACCTTCATGGCACTCTATTCAACCAGTTCACACAGCATGCTCAGAAAAAAAATGATCCCGTCACTGGAAATGAGAAAATACAAGACAGGGCCGCAATAGGTTTAGAGTGACTGGATTTAAATGTTTATAGACAGGAATTCCAAGTGTGTCTTATCTTGGTGCTGGCAGGGCAAATAGCTCTGCATTTAGCTACAAGTGAAGGAATGTGTGTCTGTCTATAGCATTTCCCAAAGGATGGCTGAACCTAATTTATCCACAACTTTCCCTGCATTTAAGGAACCCTCAACTTCCAGGGCAAAATTAAAACCAATAAATACTCAGGTTTTCTATATAATTGCAATCTTTTGTTAGCATCTTCATTTTGCATTTTGAGTTCCTTTAGGAAGAAATGCTTCATGAACACATCATGTAGAAGCAACCCTATTGGTAACATGTTGTTTCTATTCTATGTGTAATATATATTTTATCCAGCAAAAGCAGAAGGAGGAGAAATGATCCATAGATTTCTTTAAGGGGAGAAGGAAGGGGAAAAACACTGAGAACACATAATTATGACACAAGAAGGGTCCAAGGCCTCTGGTTAAGTTAGAAAGATTGTTAAACAAGACCAAGAAAAGTTTTAGCTTCTATGAACTTGGTATCTTCTAACTTCCTCAGGGCTGCCAGTGGAAGAACTAGAGGGGTCCCTCAGATTCAGAGTCGACACCCTATTTACTAGGCATTGTGTTAGATCGTGACTTCCATCATGGCCACACACAAAGGGTTTAGAATTTATAGGAAGAAGACTTTGCTACCTTTTACCAGACTGAGAATGTAACAGGACCTAAGGTAGGAAACTCCCAGGATGTGAGGCCAATTGTCAGAGACCAGGTGGCCAATAATTCGACTAGTGCAGTTGCTATTTTAGAACAATCACTGATGTTCAAAAGAATTTCTAATGGCTACAGAAATTCAAAGGGATGAAACAGAAGCTCAAGTTCAAGGAGAACCTTCAAGGCAGACCATGTATAATCACTAAGGTCTTCTCCCAGGATGTCTCCACAGGATGATTTTCATTACCTTGAAAGTATACCATGGTCCCCAGTAGGACGAAGTCAGAAACAGAATTTTGTCAGGGTTCTGAGAATGACTCCACATCTCACATTAAACAAGCTAAAGAAACTAATGTGTAAAACCAAAATACCAATTTATTTTTTCACAGTGAGAAATTAGTATCAAAGGAAATATGTCAAACCCATCTAACCATTATTTTCTGACCCTTTTCACATCAGGAGGTACTCAAAAACAATAGAAACCCCAGTTCAGTTTGGTTAAACAACAAAAAGAATTTACTGACTCATATAACTCAAAAGGGTCTGTGGTAGGGAGTGCTCCAGGCAAGGCTTGATCCAGCAGCTGAAGGCTATCGCCAAGGATTAAATTTCTTTCCATTTATTTGGCTCTATTTTCCATCATACTGGCACCCTCCTAGGGCTACTTCTTTTCATGGCTACAAAATGGCTGTCAGTAGCAATAAGATGATATGTATTTTTTTTCAACTTCAGTAAAAGAAGGATGGCTTCTTTCTGCCCAGTCATCAAATAAAGGTCCTAGATTCCACTTTTATTGAACTAAATTACCTATCCACGAACTAATCACTATAGCCAGAGAATTAGTTTAGGTCTAGGTCAGTATCCATTCCTGAATCAATCACCGTGACAAAGAGTATGGGTTTGTGAAAATTGGTTTAATGCCAATCTCTGGAGTTAAGGGATGGCAATACCATCGAAACTACAATGCAATGCCATACAATGTGAACAGGATGGATGTTTGGAAGACAGCTAATTGTATCTATTGTAAAAAGCCGTACAATAATCAGATGGTTGCTTTGTAAACATGGAATCAGAAGAAATCCAGATATATATATATTTAATGGCATCAAGATAAACAGCAGGATTCACCCAACTGTCTGTACGAATTCCCTTGCTAAGGGTTCTAGAAAGTGACTGGCTAACTTCTGATTCTATCAATAAAACTTAAGAATGAATAGAACTAAAAAATAAACACTGCATGCTTCCGCTTATATGAGGTATGTAGAGTAGTTAAATTTATAGAGACAGAAAAAAAAAATGGTAGTTGCCAGGGGCTTGAAGAGTGGGAATGGAGAGTTATTATTTAATGGGTAGAGACTTTCAGTTTTGCAAGATGAAAAGAATTCTGGAGATGGATGGTTGTGATGGTTGCATAATGATATGAATGTACTTACTACCACTAAACTGTACACTTAAACATAGCAAAGATGGTAAATTTTATGTGTATTTTACCACAGTATAAATAAAAAGGAATGAATGGATCATCAGATAAGTTGAGGGCATATCTTACTGGCTTTGGAGTTGAATGTAGATATCTCCACTCTAAAGTGTTTTGTGCTTGTTTTTAAGTCAGATTATGAAAGAACAAGTTATTATTTTTCTGTTGCAAAAGAGACAGAGTCAAACACCACAATGATACACAAATGAAGAAATTGTCAACACTTGGGCTCAAGGCACAGGATAAAGACAGTCCCCTAGTCTCACCATCCCATGGTTTAAGCTGAGTGTGTCCTGTTTAAGCTTGCATGGCTGGAACAATTTAAATCATGCTCCAGGAGAGAGACCGCCCAGTGCCTTGCCACCTCATATATTTATAGCTAGGAGGTGACAGAGATCACCTGACCCAGTAGGTCTGAAAAGGCACAGCCTTGTCTGTGTGAAAAACGTTCTCTTCTCAGGGCCCATCTTCTGGGCAGTTTGCATATCAGCATTGGTGCCATCCAGTAGAGCTTTTGGCTCTCTCTGCAAGGCTAGCTCATTACTGGACTACCTGAGAGGAAGTTGCTGGAGGCATCCCGTAGAGAAACCGGCTTGTCTCCCCTCATAATCTTACATCCAAGTGCTTGGAGGAAGCTTTGCTGAGGTCCCTTAGTAGGGACTAAAAATACTGATTTTGTTTCAGAAGAAAAACAATAGGACAGAGGGAAATGCATCATTGGTAGCTACAGTAGCACTTTCAGGGGCCTGGAAAAAGAGCTGGTGGAGTCAGAGCAGGTAAAGGATGAAGGGATTATACTGGGTGTGAGCACCTGATAAGGTTTATAAGCCACACAGAACTGCAGCCGGTCTTTAGTCATCTTAGCATGAGTAATAGTGCTCCATGGAGCTCTTTATTACAGTTACTTTGATTTCTTTACACCATGCATACCTGATATTGAACTCTAAAAACTCCACCAGATATTTAATTGATGTGGCCCCACAGCAACCATAGATATTCCCTCCAAAGAATATGTCTAATGTTTACAACTAAAGGATGAATATTTCACTGATTTCTTAATAATTCTTATAGAATTATATGCCATCATCTGTCGGTGGATTAGAATTTCCTCAGTGAAGGAGCAAGTCTCCAGAGAGATGCAAGACATTAGTTAGTGATGAGTTAGTGTGTTATTTAGGCTTTGTAGTGAGAAGCTTAACACACCTATTCTTAGTGTGATTATATATTATTGTTTGTGACATGGTAATAGTGTTAGAATGTATTAAGTACATGACATTGTGGTAAATTCTCTATATACATCAGCATCTCTAAACCTTTAAACACTGTAAGGTCAGTATCATTCCCAGTTTATAGACGATGAAGTCAAAGTTCAAAGGTTTAGTAACTTGCCCAGGATCACACAGATAATAGTAGATCTGTAATTCAAACTCAGATTTGTCTGAGCCAAAAAACCCCTCATATTCTTAACCATCATGGTTAAAAAGGGCTATATCTTTGTTGGACCAATGAAACTTTGGTGGGCACTCTATACTTCAAGTACTCTTCTCAAGAGACAACTAGACAAAGGTGGATGTCGGAAAAAACACAAATTTTATCCTTATGCCAAAACGTGAAGTTCCACAACATCCACTGTGACTGGTAGCAGGCTGTCCCATCAGGAGAAAAAGTGGAAATTGCATTCTTAAGTAATAAGTGAGTTCTCCTGTTGCCAATCTTGGCTTTTGAAGCCTTCTTCAAAGGACCTGCTTGTACAGCACGGAGGTTAAGCAGGGGTTAACAAGCCTGGGTTCAAATTCACATTTCACCACTCAATAACTGGTTACTTATTTCTCTGAGCCTCAGCTTTCTCATCTTTAACGTGGGATTCATAACAATGTAAAATTATTACCTCCCCTTTACCATTAGCCATTTGAATAAGCATGTCATTTTTCTAATTCCTCTAATGACTATATCTTCTTTGGTAAATTATTTGTCAAAATCTTTTACCAATTAAAAAAATGGGTTGTTAATCTTCTTAATATTAAGTTTTGAGAGGGTTTTTTTATTAAATAAATTCTGGATACATACCAAGTTTAGGTAAGGATATGATATGGAACAACAGGGACTTTCACACATTACTGATGAGAATGTAAAAGAGTACAAGTACTTTGTAAAACTGCTTAGCGGTTTCTGAAAAAAGTTAAATATACACCTAAAATATGACCCACCCATTCAGGTCCTTCAGAAATGAGAACATATTTTCACAAGACAAAACGTGTCCATGAATTCTCATAGCAGCTTTGTTGATAATAGCCCCAGATGAGAAACCCAAATGTCCATGAAGTAAATGGATAAACAAATTGTGGTATAACCATAAAATGGAATACTACTTGTCCATAAAAAGGAATGAATTACTGATACATGCTATAACACAGATTAATTGAGTTCAAAATAATTATTTCAAAATAATTATGCTGACTGAAAGAAGTCAGACAAGAAAGAGTACATACTGTATGATCTCATTTATATACAATTCTAGAAAGTGCAAAGTAATCTATGGTGACAAAAGCAAATCAGTGATTGCCTAGGGACAGGTAGAGGGGCATGGAGGGGTGGGAGGGTGAGAATACAAAGAGGTATAAGGAAACTTCCAGAGATGATGGATATATTCATTATTTTCCTCATAGTAATAGTTTCCTGAAGACAGACAGACAGAAAGACAAACAGACAGAATCAATTTGTAAAATCTAAATATGTGAGACTACCAGCTCCCAATAGTCCTCTTGCCCTGGAAATTGCCCCTGATACAGAGGAGGGGTCCCCAGAAGCCATGCTTATGCCACATGCCCCTGCCTTCCTGTCCAGAGCCAGTTCACCTGATGACTGTTCACTAATGATGAGAAATACAAATGTCAGTGATCTAGAGAAAGGCTCCATAATTTTGTGCTTCTGAAGACCGTGAAGTTGCCTGTCTCTAGCTCATCCAAAGACTGGTTGTTTTAATTCTTAGATTTCAGGACCTGAGTGTCCTGTCAATAAATTCCTTTTATGTTAGTGAGCTAGAGTTGGTTTATGTTGTCTGTCTCCCTGGGGAAGAAATGAAATTGACGTTTAACTCACTGCATTGATATTTTTCATGCTTTCTATTATAAATGGCTGTAAAATTATTTTAAAAAATAGGGTATTCAACTGGCTCCGTGAGTCATTCACCCATTCCTTTATTTAACAAATTTTTTTCTGATGGCATACTATGTGTCAGGCACTGTACCAGACATTTTGATATCTTGTCCAAATTATACAACAGCAGGTGTAACAACCTACATTCACAGTTGAGAAAGCTCAGGTTCAGAGGGGCTCAGTTACTTGCTTAAAGTCGGAGTTCCTAGTAGGTATTGGATCCTGCCTATTAGGATTTGAGTCCAGGCCTGTCCAACTTCAGAGGTCCCACTTTTTTCCTTACCTATACTCTGTTCCCTGGTGGCAATAAACCCCAACATCAACTGTGAGCTCCTAGTCTAGCTACTGTGGCTTGCAGCTTTGTGAGCCAGGAGTGCTATGATGTTTCCTGGATACTCTCATGGCCAAGGACAGTGTCAGCTGATGGTAGCTTGGGGGCTTATCCCTACAGGATTTAGTGTCCTGGGAACAAATGAATTATCTATTCTAGAAGGCAGGGACAATCAGGGGATTCTTTTTCCCTGGCATTGAAGACTGTTAACTAGTAATGAAACTGATTCCTCTGTGACAAATGAGCAGTGACAAATCCTGAAAATAAAAACAGCCAACCCCAATCACAGGAAATGCCCAAGCAAAGCCACCCTTGGCCACAAATCAAAAGATAATGAGGCTGAGATATTCTTCCTGAGAACTCACTGCAACTTTGAACATTTATGAAAAGCTCAGTGTCAAAGCTGCTTTTTTACTTGGTTGCTGGAAACACACCTAGTTGTTTAAGTCACACTGACTCAGGTGAAGGCCAGAGACCTCACACTACTTTCTTTTCCTCAGGGAAGTAAGTCTACCAGAGCAGGGGAAGATTTTCATTTTCAATATTACAGATTTCAGTACCGTTTAAATGTGTTCCTCTTGCATTAAAAACTATAATAAAAGGAGATAGATCTTCACATTATATATTCTTCTTTGTGATCAGCCTGCAGAAATATGAATACTGCCCAGAGTCCATGCACACTCAAAATCATCACAATGTCATTTATAAGAAGAAAAATGGAAACAAGCATTCAATAATCTGGTAATGTTAGCTTAAACTAAATCCATACGATAAAAATTACATGCACCTAAAACAGTTTCCAACACTAATTAATAGCACAGACATAATAGATTTGTTAAACGATTAAAAAATAGGGGGCAAAATAGGTAAGCATTCTGAACCTGAAATGTGTGTGATGCACGCTTATGTGGTGTGTTAGGAAGAGAATACACCAAAATATTAACAACAGTGATATCTGAGTACAGACAAAATGCTTTCCCTCTTACTTTTATATCTCGTCCATTATTAAAATACATACAGGCTAAATGCAATGTGGTATTCCAGGTTGGGTCCTGGAACAGAAAAAGGAAATTAATGGAAAAACTTGGAAAATCTAAATAAAGTCTATAAGTTAGTTAATAGTAATATACTATTGGTAATATCTTAGTTTGATAACTACACCATGGTTATGTAAGGTATTAACATTATGAGAAGTTGAGTTTATTATGGAAACTTTCTACTATCATTGCAACTCCTCTAAAATGTAAAATTATTTTTCAAAAATTTTAAAAAATATATTCCAAGCCACACTAGAAACCATAATGGCAAAAAGCCATTGTTTTTTATTTGTTAGGACTACATAATTTGGCATGTATATAAACTTTTGTTTTTTACATATATCTTGTTCTTCCATCTAGATTAAACTTATGGGCCAGAGCTATGCTGGGCTTCTCCAGTATCCTCCAGATAGCATCTTTATCTTTCACTTTTTAGTATAAATTAGAACAGATTCAAAGTAATACTTCTGATATCCTTATATTCAACTCACTCACTTGCATTCCAATATGGAAGAAAGTAGTACATGAACAGCCTGGACTTGAGCTATACACAATGCTGGTTGTGTTCACAGCACATGCCAACAGAGCTTCAGCCTGTGTGCACCTGCTGACAAAGGGAGGTTGAGAACCGTCATTAAAATAGCTTAACAATTGCTATATGTCCTGAATTCAGAACACAAAAGTCTATTTAACTATCTAACCACACATAAGAAGTTTATTTAAAAGGTATATGCAACCTGACATCAGTGAGGACATCCCTTGGGCTATGCCCACATTCATTAAAGCAGTGCTTTTTATTAGTCCATGCCTTTTTTTTTTTTTTAAAGAAATGCAATCTTATAATTTATTAGTTTATACAAAAATTCTGCCTGAGTGCCTACCATGTGCCAGGAAGCACTACACTACAGTAATTAATAAAACAGATGCTTACCTATGCATAAGAAATTAGTTGTGGAGACAAACAATACGTCAGGCAAACAGTAAATAAAGAATTGTAGAGTGCAAAGTGTCATGAAATAAATGAACTGGCTCCTGGGTGAGGGAGGAGCCTACTTAGATGGGGAGATCAGGAAAGGTTTCTCTAAGGCAGTTAGATGAGACCTAAAGGATCAGAAGAGGACAGCCTTGCAAAGAACAGGGAGACAGTGCATGAGGCAAACAAAAGTTCTCAAGGTTGGAAAATAAACATGTGCCAATTTACAGAACCATGCACAGTGGTGCAGGTAAAGAATACAGAAGGCATATTTTGAATTGACACAGAATTGGGACTTGGCAGTAGGTGTCACTGAGTGTCTAGGAGGTGGGGGAGATGAATGTGCTACGAGAAACACGAAAATGTCGACATTCTGCTAGAGATCAGAGAGATCCCCAAATTTGCCTAAGTGGATCTTTTTTCATTTTAATCCTATGCAATCCTTGTGGAGACCTGAATATTTCTGATTCATCACAGAGACACGAAGACACTCAGAACTGTCGAGCAGGTTTCACTAAAATCTGGAGGTGTCTGGAATAGAAGTGAAAGTTCACATCACCAGGACTATATCATTTCTTAGAAGACAGTCATCATCTATATATCAACAAATGAAGCCTAAGGCAGCCTTTTCTTAGTACTTTTCCTACCCCCTACTCAAGAAATAGTGCATAATCTGTTATAACTTGCCGTATCCCACATATTATCCACCATTAACACAAATCAAGTTTGTGTGTTTGTAATTTATGTTTCAGTACTTAGAGAATACCTTGTTAGTTACTTTAAATAGATAAATCAAGAGAAAATTTTGTTAATAAAATATTAGAAATGTCATTAGACTTCTGATTTATTTACAGATGTCTAGCATTCCTGATCTCCATTTATTTCAAGTTTTCAGGAAGAAAAATGGTTAGCTGGATCATCCTGCTCTTATATTTATTCCTTCATTTAAGAGATTACATCTAAGCTCTAAAACCATTTTTAATAAATAAGATATGCAATTTTTAACTGTTGATATTTTTTAAAGAATAAACATGATCAAGATTAATTCATGCAGTCCCAGATAATTCTCAAATAATGGATTAGTTGGCAAAGCACATTTGATTCATGCCTGATAGTCAAGCCTTTTTATTTTAGCTTCATACATATATACAAAAATTTACTCCTTTGTTTGCTTAAAAGCCAGAACTGCTTATGCAACAGAAGGAAATGAATATGGGCTAAACACTACTAGGTAGTACATACCAATTGCCCAGCTTACAAATTGTACATATTCACAGAGAATGACCAGGATATAGCAAATTAATATGATAAAACAAAAAGCAAATGGTGTTCATGAATTACAGAAAGGTTCTGTTCAAAAGCAGTGTCAACTGATAAGAATTAAATAAATAAAAATAAACAAATAAAGAGGACAGGAGGAATCTTTTGGAGGTGACAGATACATTTAAGGCATAGATTATAGAGACAGTTTCATGGGTGTATACTTATCTCCAGACTCATCAGGTTGTATAATTAAATAAAAACATATAAAAAGCTGTATGCCCATCATATCTCAATATTAAGTGGTTTAAAAGAAAAACAAAGAATTAAATACATGGAAAACACTAAATGATAAAAACAAAATCTGGATGAGCACACAGAAGAGGAATAGAAGGAATACTTTCCTCTTCTAGCAAAGTTATGTCCATACCAGGTCTCAAGTCAGAAACTGATTCTACATTTTAGGTGCCACTTTATTTATATTTTCCATCTAATAGTCTGAAGGGCAAAAGATTTGTTGTTGACTTTGGAAATAATTACCAACATTCTTCATTTACTATTTGAATGATTATTGTCCTCCCTGCATTGATAAACATAAATAATTTAGATGCTGATGAAAACTCAGGTAAAACAATGTAATGGAGCTAGTCACCGTTTTTACAATTTCAGAATGGACAGCAAAAGAATTCATAATCTGACATTGTATTGAAGGAACTTAACATGTTGATTTTTTTTTAGTATTTACCAAATAATAGGATTAAGTACCAATGTTGAACATCAAAGTAACATTTATTGTAAAATGAGAAATAATCCATGATAGAGAGGTTTAAAAAATGCAAACGAAAACTAGTAGTTCCTAAAGCCGTTCTTACTCAGTGTTAACTAAACTTAGTAAAGCATAGAGATTGGGGGAAAAACTTACTAGGCTCAGCAACTAAGTAGCCAAGTGATCTGGAAAAACTCAGGAGCTTCAGTTTCATCATGTACAAGGTAAGATTATTGAACAGTAGTATTTCTTAGGTCTTTTATTAGCCATAAAGTTCTATGACTGACTCTAAGAGGTATGATACTGTTGCCTTCCATTGAGTACAGACATTGATGTATTACTTTCCAACTTTTAAGTATGCTTAACCGACAAACTACTGGCCAGTCTAATAAAACACTAAATTTTTAGCTTAGATCTTGCTACCCCTGAGAAATACTGAGCAATAACATGGACAGGAATCTTGAAAATTAGTTATTCGTATAAACTCAAGCCTGAAGCAACATCTTCCTTTCAATTTAACTTCTATTCATTACATGACTTGTTCAAAACCAAAAGAAGTAGAATGCTATTCTCTCTTCTCACTTATATGGTAGTTTCGCACCCTATTGCACACACATGACTCATTGTAGTCACACTACTCCTGCATACACATTACCTATACTCTCTGTACACACATTATAGAACTATCAAAAGAACAATCATATGATCAAAAAACAAATACTGCAAATAGTCATTTACCAGAGTGTCAACTTAAAAGCCTTTACATATTTAAAAGTTAGAGAAAGAATTGCTTACTATATTGCATACCTGTAGTTAATTAGGGAAAAAAAGAATAACAGAATTTTCAGTAATACCTATTACATGGCAAAGCTATTTCTTAAGAAAAAATAAAGAAAAATGGTTAACGCATCAGCCTAAATTGGCCAAAGATCAAGTTGACAAAACTAATTTTAAACAGGGATTTATAGGATTAGATAAGCTAATGCTGAGTATTTTTTTCTCCATTTTCAGATATGCAGTTTCTGTGACCGACCTTCCAGTGAGGTCGCATACCCAGCAATGGTAATGAGTAAAACAATGAGCAACCAGAAGCTAAAAGAATGAGGAAAGTCTCTGTATTCCTACAGCTCAAAGTCAAAATTCAAAGTCGCTATTCCATAGCCCATCCGATAAAAGAGAAACATTCAGATACTTAAATTTAGTCCCTAAAGAAAGCCCCCCTGTTCAATAAAGCACTTCACAGCCTTCTTCTCTCTGAAGCTATTGTCAGGAGCCCTTTCTACCTATGGTCTTGTTAACACAATAGGATAACTGCCTCTGGCATACATTTGAAAAGATGTTAACAGCACTTCAATCTAGCATTTCCAGTTTCAGGGATGGTTGAGAGGTTTGCAGTGGGACCATATGCCTGTCCAGTAATGCTAGAGCTTTACCTGCAAAGCTCTAGTAGGTTGTGAAGATTAGTGGGTTAGAATAGTCAGGCAAACCATGAGGTAGAAGATCTGATTTTACCTGATGACCTAAAGGGAAAGCTGCATGTGCCTTGTAATTTCCTGGAACCAGAGAGGAGACTTGTTCTGCCTCTCCCTATTTCTCAATAATTCCAGGAATCTCACATCCTGGATATCCCTTTGCTATTTGGTGTGACTTTGGGTATTATGTGGCTGTGAAGAGAAGCCTCAGATATCACATCTAAAATACAAGGAGTAATGTGTTATAGAGAGATAGGAAATTGCCTCGCTCCCCTGCTCTAGCCATGGTTCCCTCGCCATGTCCAGAGATTCAGTATGATGGAACCAGCCTCATTAGAACTTACTTCATGAAACTACCCTAAACTCGAAGAGTACAGAGGCAGAAAAATGGGTGTGTCTCAGCCCTTCTTTGACCTGTAAAGGTATCGGTATGATGGTCATGCCTGATCCACTTGAATTTAAACAGTGAACCAGAACATTCAATATCTAAGGTGGAGGCATCCTTCCTCAATTCTCAATTATTCTTCTTTCAAATCATCTTTCAAAGGTATGTCAGGAAATTCCCAGTTTTCTACCAAGGCTGAAGGGGCTAGAAGAAAATTGGTTAATGTTAACACACAGGGTCTCATACGCAGGGCAGAAGAGGCTGGGATTAGCAGGGATTCAGTATTTGCATCTGACACGAATGAGCTTTTATTTTAATAAGCTGCCTGTACAAGAGGCTTTCTAGCAGAACAAGAAAGAAAAGAAGCTTATGATCTGGCAAAATGTTCTGAGAAGTATGCTAAATTTGAATTCAAATGGAAAAAGACCCTATTTCAAAGCAGTCTTTCTTAAAAATTGAGCCACAATCTTATTAAGCTCTCGACATCTAACTACCAGTTAAAACAAATATAATAGAGAAACAAGTTAAATAAAACTTGATGAGGCATCGACTCCAGAATATGAGACATTCTATGGACTTCTGACATGGTTTCTCTAACAAATTGATTGCATTTAGTGTGTATGTGCGCATGTGCGCGCGCGTGTGTGTGTGTGTGTAATGATGTAACAACCAATTGCAATGTGTGGACCATATTTGGATCCTAATTTGCACAAACCAAATGTGCAAAGTCAATCAGGATAATCAGGGAAAT